CGTTAAGTCACTTTCTTGTAAACACATATTGCCTGATATTTACGGCATTAGTCAAGACTTTATTTATTTAATAAATCGTTTTTCATTAAAAAGTTGAATCTCCTTGAGAGATATTAATTTCTAATTATCTGCAAGTGATCTATCCCTAATATCGAACCCAACCGCTCGGGTCTATAACATTATTATCTTTCTAATGTTTTTCAAAAATAACATTACTTGCTCCCAGATATCCAGGTAGGAATGGAAAAACTAGTCCCGGGTTCGCCCATCCCGGGGGGAATCCTTCAAACTCTGGAAACATTTATGTGCAACATGGGAGCTATCCTACGGAAACACTCGAATCTGCAAATTCTAGACGGAGGGCTGAAACAGGATGGAGACCGAATTCTGGACCCTACGATGGAGAGTCTGTTCCAGAAGAGTCCCAGCCCCAAGGATGGATACCCTCTCCTTTGAGTGGCAAGGAGTATCAGGACCCTGAAAAACCGGGACACGAAGGTAAATGTGGAGAGTAAAAACCAAATATTAGCCCAACGCACAAGCATGTTCACTGAGCACGGGAGCTTTTTGCTTATAAGAATACTAATTTCATTATTTCTTTACTAAATAAATATAATTATCAATTAGTTTAGTAGAGCAACATAAAACGAATTAATTTTTTCTTCCCTCCAATGGAATGAACAAAATGCGTTTTAAGGACACAAAGCATATTCCCCGGATGATAAACTTGATGAATGGCAGTCGAAGCCAACTATCTTTCAAGAGAATACCAAACGAAAAGGACAAGATGACAAAATGGATGATTGGTCGAGTAAAGGGAACCTCTTTGGTCAGGGAAAAGTACGCCCGAATGCAGGTCAGTCTCCTTTCAATATGTTCGTATGCTATACGGGGGCAAAACGTCTGGAGTGCAACTATAACTTGCTGTAACTAATCAGAATGAAAAACTAACATTTACCGCAATTTAATATTACTGATAATATTCTCGTTGAAGTTCTACTCAATTGTTTGTTTATCTTTGCTGATAATATTTCAATCAATTCAAAATTGTATATAATACTGTCTTACTGACAAATTATGATGTACTGAGCTGGAAATCCGCATAAAATAAGCATCCGTGTGTCCATAATTTTGTAATTAATAATTGAAGTTACCAAGCGTTGTTCCAATTGGAAGAGATTAAAAAGAACTAAATCATTGATCCATCAATGATTTAGTATGTACATGAAAATTAACAGTTCTGATATTTCTTCCTAGCTTCTTAATGAATCTGTATCACTATTCTGAATTTATTCTTCTCATAATCTCAACGATTTTAACTATTAATGGCTACATTTCCATCAACTGATTAGAAAGATGGAAATAGTATATTCATTGCTGGACCCTTTAATCAGCATTCATAGATTATTTCCATTGTTCGCAAACAAATAAATTATCTCTAATCAATCCGGAATTTCCACATTTTTATTTTTTTCTCTTGGGTGATGATGGACTGAACCTTCCATCTAAGTAAAAAAAAAACATTTCAAGTTTTTTTGTCCTCGAACATTTTTTTGCCAAAGCTCAAATTTGTACATGCAGACCCAAAAGTTATTAACGATTTAAGAATTTGAATTTTGCTGAATAATGATTTAGCGAGGGCAAAATCTAGAATCCAATTTCATAATTGAGCGGTAATTGCCTTTCCGGTTCTATTGCTCTTTAACTGGAATTCATTCACACGATTTCAATATGAAAATTTAAAAAATTAGCATCAAAGATACCAGTACCGCAGTTCCATGGAATCTACGTAGGCATAAATGGAACGACAGTGAAAGGTCACTATAACGTCACAGAGCCTGAAATCTATCGCGGTCATGCCAACACTGGAATCTACAATAATACACTCACGAATTCGGCGAAACCAAAGGTCAATGTTGAGCTGGATAAATACCCCAATCATTTAGACACCGGGTCGAAACCTGGTAAAGGGGAAAATCCCTCAAATCGCGTGGCTGGGTGGAACAAACCCGACACAGACGCCCCCACAGTCTCCATCGACGAAAATTACGATGATTTGGGAGCCAGTGATTCGAATGACTATCCGGGCATCGATGAAGATGCTAAGAATCTCGAAGTTGACATCCTGGACAGAAGAAGAGATATGTGGAAACCGCATCTCGCATTCGAGAATCGAACGAAATCAAATGATTCTGTCATTATGCGAATCGATAAAAAAACAGTCGATGTGGATATCTTTAGTGTCGAAGCTGCACCCTGGCTAGAAGGTATTTATACCTACATTTCTCATTGCAATTAATTTTCTAAGGATTTCTGGCTTCCACCTGGATGAGTATGAGAATGTTTCATGGCTTTTAGTGATGCTCTGCTCAGATTTCAATACATTGCTATCGTAACGTCTCACCTTTAAATGAGAGAAAATTGTGATGCGAATAAATGATATTTTGCTTGGTATTTTCGTTACATATTTTACAAAAAGGTCGTGTAAATATTTTCTGAGGAAATTTTATATCGATCGTTGCATTTTGAGTGGTTTTTAACCATCTTAATGTAACTTTCACCGGCATGTTGTGACGAATGGTTCTTTCTAATATTTTATGGGCGCCAGTTGATTTTAAAATTACCGACAAATCAGCAAATCCGGCTAGCTCGACAACCAGAAATCTCAGGGGGGAGGGAGGATGATACTCCCCATTTTTACAGGACCACATTAAAAGTAGAGGACGCACATAAATTGTCAAACATTAAGACAATAGGAACAAAATTGATAAATAGCATGAAAATAATAAGTCATTGCTTGAAAATCATGATAATGCAATATTCCATGAAAATTGTCTGTAAGCGGAAAAATATTCGATAGAATACAGCGATTCGCGAACCCAGACGTTGGGTAATTCTCTTTGACCTCAATATTGTTGATTTCGATACCAAATCTTACTATAAAGTTGAGTTCTGACCGGAGTCGATCATTTCTCAGTTTCATTCATACTAGAATATAATTTTATAGGTTCCAAATATAAATGTACGTGACCTTGGCACGCAAACAAATTGGCTTGACTATAAACTCAACTTGCGACTAATACTAGGACTCTAATTCGACTCGTACTATAAAGTGACAGCTGCCTCTATAACGATAACTTAACGACTCGACTTCATGCTGAAGACTTCTATGACTTCATGGGTCAATGTCTCACCAAACATTTCTAACAAATGGGCGTCTTAATACGTGTCATGGTCTTCATTGTCCTTGCGAATTTTCTGATGATTTCCGAAATTCCACGATGGATTCTGGATGGTCTCGATTACGATCGAGATGAAAGGGAGAGGTCTCGTCGTTGCTATGTTGAGTCCAATTCCTCAGTCTCCTTCTCGTGTGGTTCCTTGTCGAAATTCTACCCCAGAGAGATTTTTTTTCAGGATCACGACAATGTTCCCTTGGTGTGAAACAAAATTAGCATTATTATCGTCTTCTAGACGAGGTATATGTCCAGTAATCGTGGCTTGGTTGAGGAATGCTCGGCGGAATTTAACTTAAAGCAAATAATGATCGACAATAAAAAATGAAAAATAATATTTGACGATACCATCGTCAGAATTTTTTAAAATTATTTTATCAAACTTTGTGCTAAGAATTAAAATTAAATTGGTTAGAATCGCATAACGCAGTTTGGTAAAATATCACAATTAAAAGCTCAATAAATTGTAAAAAAGAGGTAAAGAAAGACAATCGTTCACTGATCAAATTGGCCAGAGATTCATAGGTGGAATCACCTAAATTAACAGCCGTAGAGAACTCTAATGCTCGAAACATTACGCTCACAGAAACAAAAGTCATCGAAATTCTGCCCATAACACAATTAATTATTTCGTTAAGAAATTCGTTTTTCAAGCATTTTTAACACTCAATTAACTAAGCCCATAGCCTCAAAAACATCCACCTCAATTTGTTCAACCCGTCTACAGTATGAAAATTTTGGAAGTAGGGTAAATAACATGGACCTCCCTTCCGCTCATGATTTTTGTTTCTAAAAAAAACATCATTAAATGAATACAGTCCTTTGATTTTGATCATCATTTCAATAGTCACCGGGGAGTAATAACTTTATTTCGCATTATTTATTGTATTTATTATATGCTCACTACACGGAGAGAAATATTCAGGAAAAATTATGAAACATTTCACGTAATCTGCAAGCGAAATAATAATCACACAAATTCTACAATGTGTTCCGTAAAAATTACTCATCCGCCAACGAACATCCATCAATTTTTATGTTCTGAGGCATAATATAAGTATATCATAAGTCTTGAAGTTACGTTCGATTTTAAAACTTGCAGAAAATTTACGTGGCTTTTCCGTATTTTTTTGGAGACAGAACCCAAAAATTTACGGAAAGTTCCAAATTTATTCCCGGAAAACGATCCTTGCTGGCGAATTACATGAAATGTTCCGTAATTCATCTTGAATATTTTTCTCCGTATACGAAAGAAAAAATCTATCTATTAAATGAAAGATGAGTCCATTTTACGCATACACGACACGTTTTACCCCGCCCCTACACCTATATAAAAAATTAGGAAAAAACTACGACAATGTTTTCGTATATTTTGTGGGGTTTTCCCCCACGGTCCATTTTATCCCCCTTCCCCTATATTTACCTATTTTTCTGCATCCCAGATCGAAAATTTGTAAAATAGCAACCGAAAACGGTCTGTGAAAACCACTTCTAAATAATGTAGAATCATTCTAATCGCAAAGATATAATACCTTCGCTCAGGAAATATTTATAAGATCCTTATGCAGAATACGTACGGAATAAAAATAACTATTGTCGAAATTGGAACAATCACTTAAGGTTGTTGTCGTGTAAACCCGTTTTTCGACAGATTTTTTTTTAATTTTCGCTATAGATAGCTCTTAAAATTCCCTCCAAAATGAGCACAACAAAAAACCAATCGTCAGTTTCTGAGCTGAGATATGATTTTTTGAATTAACATGGGTTCAAATGCATTTCACCGTTTTTATTAAAAAAAAAAAAAACCACTCGACATTTTTTGATGAAATTAACACAGAACGTAGAAATAGTGACCACCAATATACTGAGGAAAAAAGAAAGTGATCGTCAGTTTCGTAGTAGAGTAATAAATTTTCAAAGTAGCATTATTTTTCCCAGTGGGCGGAGCGCATGGGTTTGTTGCGCGCGACGCGACAACAACGCTTCTTGCTCGAGTGGCGCGAATCTATTTGGAATAGTCAATGACGAATCAAAGGGACGATTCATAAATAAAATAAATATATTGAGTGAGAAAGAGAGAGACATGAAAACAGAGACACGCTGCGCGCGGTTGCCATGATCGGCACCATTTAGCGTTAGCTGTGTGTACATGTATCCATGCATGGTTGATTCTTGTGTGCGTGAGTCGAGTGGAACTGTACACCCGCAAAAGTTTATATTTTAACTCGTATTCTCCGCTTAGCGGAAGATCAACCCGGAGCGTAGTAAATTTTAAGCCTGACTCTCTCGCGACAACAACCTTAAGATTATTGGTGATTGGTCACAGTTCATTTTTATCCTACTAATATGAGAGAAGATCATTAAGAAAATAACTATGATACATGATACGAATTTTCCAGTACTGGAAAAAAATGTGAATGGTTTTGTTTCCATTATTTTTAAAGAGGATCCGCCGTTTCCTGTCTATTTCCCACCCCCAGTGCATCCTCTCGATTCTTCTGAAGCTGAAAAGCCAATGCCGTACTCCGGACAGGTGAGCATGACCAACTACTATCATTAAAATGAGAGACAAAAAATTGTATTGTATTTGTTTATTGTTTATAAATAGATAATTCGATTGAGGGGAGGTTTGAGTGGCAGAGATGGTTACGTGGAAGTCCAAGGGGCTCATCCTGGTTGGGGAGTAGTGTGCGATGTTAAAAACGGATGGACTATCAAGGAAGCAAATATACTTTGTCGCCAATTGGGATTTGCCAGGTAAAAATAATATTATCTTTGAATAAATTGACTCTAAAAATAAATTCCATTTAATAATAAAATTTGAGCTAATTGCAAAAACATTATTCTTTTCAAAGATCAACGCGGAGAATATTTTTTCGTTTAGTTGATTTGTCCCGTTTAGAATTAAAACTATGTGAATCCATAAGTTGAATTAATGAATTAATCTATTGAGCTTAAAAGGTTACCCTCTCGACAAGAGATTTTCATCTGGAGTAGCAAAATTGCGAAACCATATTCCGTCAATACTTCATTGTGAATTCGTCAATATGTTTCCTGACCTTGAGTTTTTTAGAGCAAACTAAACAAGTAAATGATGAAGAATCAGACAAGTGAAGAGAAAAAGGGTCAGCAGTTTCAACAATGATTTTTGCTTTAAAAAATTTAGTCAGGGTGTCCAGTTCTAGTAATTAAATTGAAGAACTAAATAACGGAAAAATTGTAGAGGAGCTGCAACAGCATGGCAAGGTCGACCACCCGTCGATGACATTCCCTCCTGGGTGGCTACAACAAGTGTCCAATGTTTTGGCAACGAGACAAAGTTCCAAAAGTGCAAGTTCATCCATGGGGCAACTTGCAATGTAGCGCGTGATGCTGTGGGAATCACTTGTTTCCCCAATCGAGTGGCGCACTGTCGAAAGGATGAAGTTCCTCATGCGGGTAATTGCTATCATCTGGCTAATGCTAATGCTGGTTTGAATCATGAAGAGGCCTTACGATACTGCGCGGATAGGCAGTCACGGTTGGTCGATATTACCAGTCAGAATGAGAACAACTTCTTGTCCGAATGGCTTATGCTGGATCATCCGAGGGTCGAGACGGTTATGACTGCTGGCCTCGGATTTTCTATGATGAATACCACTATTTGGATATGGGAAGACTCTGCCAAGACTAAATTCAAGTGAGTATTTATGATTACATTTCATACAATAAATGGCTACAATAAATGAACATTATTCGACCTCGTAACGCCAAAATAATAATGTTATTTAGTGGGCACTTATTGCTGCTTTAAAGTGCTTCGCACCTCTTCGCACATGTTCTTCTGTCTTCGGATCAGGAAATTTATTTGATATTGCAGATTTGCAAAATGGTGGCCAGGCTGGAGGGAAGATAGAGCAATGCCTCCTTGGACTGGTTCTCGTCCTTCTTGTATCGTAATGAAGAAGAGTTTTCCTTGTTTTGAGCTTCCGGAACGAAACTGCAGTTCTGAGTACTTTTTCTGGTATGTGGAGGACTGTGCATCGTCCAGCAAAGGACACGCCTACGTTTGCAAGAAACCTTACAACGATATAAGTTGTGTTTACGGAAAGGGACACCACTACTCTGGTAACGCAAATGTGACGACTTCTGGTAAAGCTTGTCTTCCCTGGAATGACGCTACAGTGGCTTATGCCCTAATGGTGAACGTTCCTGATCGCCAAGTCAGGAATAAACTGAAGGACCACAACTACTGCAGAAATCCCAATCCCGTGCAGGAATCGAAACCCTGGTGTTTCACTGGAACTTACGGAGAGAAGGAACATTGCGATATTCCTGCCTGTGGAAGCTCTGGTATTAAATTAAATTCAGATTAAATTTACTGGGAAAATAGCTATTTCTGCCTTCTACATAAGATACCTATAAAATAAAAAGAATGTTCGGTAATCAACTATTAAACCTCGTCCATGGTTTTTCCCGTTTTTAAGAAATGAAATGTCTCATATTGTGTCGGAATGTAGTCACATTAAGGCCCGGGTGGACTACCTATAGAACGTCATCTTTTGTTTAAATTTTATCTTTCTAGCCTAAAATACATAAAAATTTGGGATAAGTTTTGAGGTCACGAAAATCACTGGATTTGGCATGAAAAAATAATGAAAAAAAAGAGGAAAAAATTTTGAAGGGCGCTAAAGAACAATATTTATGAAAAGGGATTTTCCAGGTTTACAAAAAAATAATGAAAAATCTGCAACATTTGATTGCCTGTAGCTGCATTCAATTCAGTGGAGGGTTTGGTTTGTGTGGTGAATACTTGACATACATGCTACATATTTTTCATTATTTTTTTGTAAACCTGGAAAATCCCTTTTCATAAATATTGCTCTTTAGCGCCCTTCAAAATTTTTTCCTCTTTTTTTTCATTATTTTTTTATGCCAACTCCAGTGATTTTCGTGACCTCAAAACTTAGCTCAAATTTTTATGTATTTTAGGTTAAAAAGATAAAATTTAAATCAAAGATGACGCTCGATAGATAGTCCACCCGGCCCTTAAATGAATTGATTAATTGAAGAGATAAATTTTGTAGTTTTTCATGCTTGGGTAGATGTACGGAACCTTCCCGTTCCTGTCCCTTGCCTCCTGAAGATATATGATTTTTATAGTTCATCAAAATCTAAATTAAAATTTTTTTGTGAAATTCCTTTCCTTCTAAAATAATTGATGCCGTAGAGAAGTTTGCGATATGTTACAAGGTTATCAAAATATTTGCTATTGTTTGCCGAATATTTACAAAAACTAATAAAACTAACCAACTTTAGACAACATTGTGTGTGTGTGAAGGACAAAAAAAGAAATGAAAATAAATTTGATATTGAACGCTTTGATTTTCTGTCCTAGGACAAGCTAGAATTCCACAAGGGGGTCAATGTAAGAAAGATCTGTTTGAATGCCTCCCAGAGGAGTGCATTCCCTCCCACTGGGTGTGTGATGGAGAGGAGGATTGTACCAATGGTAAAGACGAAAAATTCTGTTCTGAGCACTTAAATTTTTTCGAGAAAACTGTCCACCACAGACTCGAGGGTTATGATGTGGAGAAATGGATCAACACTCCCCTGAAAACTTGCGCTTTAAGATGCAAAGAGGCAGACTTTACCTGTCGCTCATTCTCCCACAAGTAAATGAAACGAAAATAATTACTTCCTCACTAACAAACTTTTACTGGCTACCAAATTTTTAATTAATTTTCAATTCTCGACGAATAGAGCAAACGAAAAGTTGTGTTTACTGAGTGATCACAACGTCGGCACCACTGGAGCTTTGGTAATAGACATTGACTTCGATTTTTACGAGATGAACGATCGTAAAATAGACTGCACGGATATGTTCATCTGCAGTAATAAAAAGTGCATCAATCAGACTCAAGTTTGTGATGGTAAGAATGACTGTAATGATAGATCCGATGAGAGCATTTGTACTCTGGAAAATTTGGATTATGGCATACGGCTGATGGGTTCTGAAACTTCTAATGAAGGGAGGGTTGAAGTTAAAGGTAACTATCCTATTTTAAATTTTTTCATAATATCCTGAATTTATCGTCAAAATGGCAATATATTTTTTCTCGACTACTTTCTATTGACATCGATGGAATTATTCAACTTCGTTGTTCTTTCACAGTTTTGGGACATTGGGGACAAGTTTGTGACGATGGATTTGGAATGATCGATGCGGAAGTAATTTGTAAAGAATTGGGATTCAATCTGGGAGCTCTGGAAATACGACCTGGGGGATTCTTCGGAAATATGCATCCACCAACAGTTTTTATGGTTGATCAGTTAAAATGTAGGGGTAATGAGACATCTCTAAGAGAATGCGACTTCAATGGGTGAATATTTCTTTCTTCATGAATGGTCTCTAGTGATCCCCTAAGGACTTATTAAGCAGCTTTATTCACATGATGACGTACACGTTTTTAACTCAACACGTTGCCTTTACCAACTTTACCCAATTTCAGTTTTATCATCCATTATGTCGATCATGAGAAAATCTAAGTAAATAAATTTAAAAAAAAGTCTTTTGCCATGATCTATCAAATTGATAGCAAAACTGAAGCTAAAGTTGCTCAAATAAGTTTCGAAATGCGCCCAAGACATTGAATCTCTTTGATTCCCTTTCAATAGTCAAGTTCCATCAAATGATCTCATTAAATAATGTAGATGGGGTGTACATGACTGCTCTCCCGAGGAGGCTGTCGGTGTGGTATGCAAAACAGCACAGGATAACTGTAAGGACGGGGAATGGAAATGTGATCACAGTTCTAACTGCATTCGCACGCCATTTATCTGTGATGAAGTCGTCGACTGTCCGGATGGTTCCGACGAAAGCCCCGTGCATTGTGAAGTAGTTCTCATTTCACTCTAAATATGGCAAATTAGGCACGGATGAAAGATTTATTAGAAAAATCAAGTGAGATTGTTAAAAAATTCCATCCACTAAGATGTCAATTTCTTATACGAAGGATTATTGGCCAAGTGGATCATCGATTTTCATCATGTCCGCAAATTCATTTGCGACAGTTCTTTCTCGGCTTCTATATTTTTGGGGGGATTTTTAAAATTCTCTCTATATTTTTACTAACTATAATGGCAACCAGTTTATGAGACAAATGGTCATTTTTTTATTTTATTCACTCGTAAGCTGGTTCTAGAGGAAAAATAATTTTTTTAATCCATAAAAAACCTGTTTTTCCCTCATGTTTCGAAAAAAAATATTTTCAAATTTTTTCGAGCAGAGATTAGCACCCAAAATGTAAAAAAAAAAAAACATTTAAAAAAGCGTAAAGAGTAAGTCTGGATCTTCGTGCTGCGTTCATTTCGACGAAAAAATTCACAAATACTCCTTCCATTAGATTTATTCTTCAGTTAAACTGGCATCGTGGGATCTCTGGTTCTTCATAAGGATAAAAATACCTGAGAAAAAAATCAATATCTAATATACTCTCAATTATAGATTTTGAAGTCGATAAACGATGTAATTTCAATAAGATTGAGATTTTCCACCAATTTGACAGATATTCACATTATTTGATTGGGTAGAGGGCATGACAAGCTGACAGATAAACAAAAAGCACCATTAGCGACACTTTTTCATTTTTATTCTTAAGGTTGTTGTCGCGAGAGAGTCAGGCTTAAAATTTACTACGCTCCGGGTTGATCTTCCGCTAAGCGGAAAATACGAGTTAGAATATAAACTTTTGCGGGTGTACAGTTCCACTCGACTCACGCACACAAGAATCTACCATGCATGGATACATGTACACACAGCTAACGCTAAATGGTGCCGATCGTGGCAACCGCGCGCAGCGTGCCTCTCTTTTCATGTCTCTCTCTTTCTCACTCAATGTATTTATTTTATTTATGAATCGTCCCTTTGATTCGTCATTGACTGTTCCAAATAGATTCGCGCCACTCGAGCAAAAAGCATTGTTGTCGCGTCGCGCGCAACAAACCTATGCGCTCTGCCCACTGGGAGAAATAATGCTACTTTGAAAATTTATTGCTCTACTACGAAACTGACGATCACTTTCTTTTTTTTCAGTATATTGGTGGTCACTATTTCTACGTTCTGTGTTAATTTCATCAAAAAATGTCGAGTGGTTTTTCACGCTTTTACGCTCTTTTTAATAGTTTTCTTTCCATTTTACATGTCCTTTTTTGCTCGAAAAAAATTGAAAATATTTTTGTTTGAACCTCGCTTCGCTCGGATAAAAACGCGTTTTCGGCCACAATGACATAAAATAGCATCATAGCCACGGCGAAAATAGTATTTTGCACGCCTATGACGGCAAAAGGGAATCTGACGAATGCGACTTTATAGTCCGCGTCGGAGACGAGGATTATAACGCGCATGAGTCAGAATCACTTTTTTAGCCGTGGCTATGTTGCTATTTTATGTCATTGTGGCCGAAAACGCGTTTTTATCCGAGCGAAGCGAGATTAGAAACGCGTTTTACCGGCCGCAATAACATAAAAGTGATTCTGACTCATGCGCGTTATAACCCTCGTCTCCAACTCGGACTACAAAGTCACATTCGTCAGATTCCCTTTTTCCGTCCTAGGCGTAAATAAAAATATACTATTTTACGTCATCGCAGCCGATAAAACGTATTTCTAATCTCGCTTCGCTCGGATAAAAACGCGTTTTCGGGCACAATAACATAAAATAGCATCATACCCACAGCGAAAAAAGTGATTCTGACTCATGCGCGTTATAATGCTCGTCTTCGGCTTGGACTATAAAGCCGCAATCGTCAGATTCACTTTTTCCGTCCTACGCGTTTTCAATTTTAGATTTTAGGCCTTTAGAAATAATTTATGAATAAAAAACAAAAAATTTGCTTCATAAACCGACTGCTATCATTATTAAAAATATAAGTACTTGCTTCGGCAGTACATTATACTAAAATGGAACGATAGAGAGAAGATTAGCATGACCTCTACGCACGGATGATACGCAAAATCATGAAGCGTTCCGCATTTTTTTTTTGAAGGTGTAAAACACATGTCTTGTAACAGCAAATGAAATAAAATATTATTATTATTACAAATATAAAAATGCTCTCAAAAATCCCCAAAAAATATAGAAACCATGAAACTGTCACAAATAAATTTGCCGAAATGATGAAAATATAGGCAGTCCATTTGATAAAGAATCCTTCAAATATAATAAATCATTCTGTTCGAATATTTTCCATCGAATTAAAAAAAAAAATTCTATTAAAAAGATTGGAAAATAATAAGTTGGATGAAGAAAATCATGGTTTGTCAACTTTTTCATTTATTTTCTGCTTAAAAAATACCAATAGAATCGCTCAAAAACCAATAAGACGTTCAATAGAATTTTTCAATGGATTCACAAGATTTTTCAATTAATTTTTTTCATCTGTGAGAAGAAGTATTCATAAATTAAGAGCAGAATTCCTCTGATTTCAGGCACCGTTTGAAATACGTTTGGCCAATGGGAGTCACCCCGCCGAAGGCAGGGTAGAAGTGAGACATCATGGAGTCTGGGGGACAGTTTGTGATGATGATTTTTCTCATGCAGCGGCTAAAGTTATTTGCAGAGCTTTCGGCTACTGGGGAAATGCTGTCGCTAAGAAAAATGGGTATTTCGGAGCTGGCGAGGGTCCTATTTGGCTGGATGAGGTCAGTTCAATTTATAAATGAATTTATAAGACACGTAAGATATAAAATATTAGGTAAATAGTGTATGCTATACTTGAGGTCCACCAAAAACAATAATCATTGAAATACTAAGCTTGTAAGAATTGACTTTCATTGTATCGGAATTTAGTTATATGAAACAGATTGATCTATTGAGGACATAAATGTAGTAATTTTTTATGCTTGGGTAGTTACGAAACACGAAATTTGAATTGAATTTGAAAATTAATTTTCAAACAGTTCGCTAATTTGTACATTCAATTGTTTTTCATTATTTTGGCAATCAGGTGTTCTGTCGTGGGAATGAAACTCAATTGTATCGGTGTGAACACGATCACTGGGGCCATAGTAATTGCAACCACGACGAGGACGTCGGAGTGATCTGTGAAGAGGGCCCAGTTAGTTTCGACGAGGTAACTCTCAAAGATAAAACCATATTCTGAATCTAATACTGAAATCGTGTAAATAGCTACAGTAAAATTTTGCTACTCGAATAAACGAGCATTGACATTGTTTGCATGAGTAAATTATTTCTTCCTGACCTCTCATATTCCCTCGAATGTAGAACCACAAGGACAACCTGCCAGAGATTACGATCAATGAAATTCTCCCGGCTGAATGTGGAAAGAGACTCGAGGACTTCAGCGAGGGGGATAAAATGTTCGAGAGGGTGGTGAGGGGTTCTGTGGCACCGAAGGACTCTTATCCCTGGCAGGTACTTGGCAAACAGAGAGAAACCATTGGTAAAAATAATTCAAATATTGAATAATTAAAAAATTGATTTCTAAGGCGAGTATAAGGGTGAGAGGTCACAGTCGATCAAACCACTGGTGCGGGGCGGTTATTGTATCGCCTCTTCATGTTTTAACAGCTGCACATTGCCTGGAGGGATACAATAAGGGCACTTACTTCATAAGAGCTGGAGATTACAACACTGAGGTAATTTATTAAATTGCAAGTAACGGCCATTTTTTCAACACTGACTAGGTCATCCATCTCTTAGGTTGTCCATCTGTTTGAAAATGCTCATTGATGTCGATTTGTGCATGATTCACATCCAAATCATTCTCAATTCGCGAAAAAATTTTCTATTGTATTGAGTAGTATTAATTCCATACTGTCAATTTGACTATCCCTTGTAATTATATGAATTATATGAATTTACTATAAATTCTCCTTATCGCAATGAAATATTTTTTGACGATCGTGAAAATGAAAAACGTAAAAAAGTGTAATCTTCGCCTGATGAGCCAAATTGGTATTTTTTGAAAAGACAGCGAGTTTTTGCAAAAGTGCTACTGCTCCGACAATTAATATTAACTCACAAATTTTTGTCACAAGTGCCATTTGTTTAATGAAATTTTTGTTACCACGAGATTTTCAAGAACTGCTCCATCACAGAATGTCAATGCCGTAAATTACAACGTTTAAAAAAGGCAATTGAATAATTTTCATGTTAAATATATTTCTGTTGTTGATGTTGATTTTCATATCAAGATTGATGAAGGCACTGAAGTAGAAGCAAATATAGAAGATTACTACATTCACGAGGAATTCCGGAAAGGTCAGAGGATGAACAACGACATCGCTCTCGTTCTATTAAAAGGCCGCGGAATCCCCCTGGGTGAGCATATTATGCCAATTTGCCTCCCACCTAGGAATGCTGAGTATTCTGAAGGACTCAACTGCACCATTAGTGGATTTGGCAGTATCGAGAATGGAAAATCAGGGCACTCCAGGGATTTGCGATTTGGCTGGGTGCCACTGATCGATCAAAATGTTTGCAGAGCCGATTATGTTTATGGTGAAAAAAAAATAACTGATGGAATGGTTTGCGCTGGGTATCTTGATGAGGGAATTGATGCTTGTGATGGTGACTCTGGAGGGCCCCTCGCTTGTTACAGGAACGGTAAGTTAATTCTCATTCTTATCTAAACTATCAAAATTATTTTCATGTCAATTTTATGGCCATAGTTAAAGTAAATAAATCACCACTTCTAGAGACTTCCTTCAGTTTTTCAAGAATACTTTCGAAAATAAAATAAATACTCAGATTATCGTCCAAACCTTTGCTTGTAGAACTCATTAAGCATATTAAGCTATAAAAAAAGTGATGATTCAAAATCCATTATCTGATTTAGTTTTATGGCCTCCTATATCACTTCCTATCACTTCCTTACTGAATGGAAAAATCACTTTATCACTTTATTTTCACAATTTTTCTCTTCTATTACTAGGAGCTTTCAACCTTTATGGTATTACCAGCTGGGGCCAACATTGCGGAGAAATGAATAAACCTGGAGTGTATGTAAGAATATCTCATTACCGAGATTGGATAGACAAAAAAATTCAAAATTCATTGTCAGGTCGGTGATATAAAAACTCAAACTTACACTAGAAGTATTCGTATACCTCAGTTGTGTCGAGTTTTTTTTATTTTTGTGGAAAATTAGATGCGATGAGACAATCGTTTTATTCCGGATTCCAAATGATAAAATTAATCATAAGTGCGCTTGTATTATTAAAAATGTAGACAGTCCAAATGCAAATAAATTAAAACAGAGAGCTTACAGTCCAATTAAGACTCTCATTACTATTTCTTTGCACTTTTCTTATTCTTTTTATCTTCATTGTTACTTTTATACGCTTTTTATCCAGACTTCTACAGATTCCCCGGAGGTAATCATTACTACAGGACATGATGATAGGTAGATGAATAGGTGGTTGGTTAGTTCACAATGGGCATAGTGAAGGGTTCTTCTGAAACAACCGCTACTGTTTCTGTTACAGTTTTAAAGTTGGGGAGCGGATTCGGTACTTTTAATTTAAAGAAAAAACACCAACATTGCATGAAACTTTCTTTTGAAACTACTCCCTACTACTTCACCCGAGATCAGTCATTGATAGAATAATTCCTGCAAAAAAATCGCAAACATTGCATTCAAAATATCCTCATATTCTGCTTTCAACACCATAATAAAATAATACAATGCTTTACTTCCAGGAGATGATTATGCTAATGGAATGGTAATAGAATTTGAAATAAAACAAATAAACCTTGATGTAGAAATATTTACGCGCCGAGACTCACAAAAAATTAATTGCAGTCTTTCTCAGGAATGAAAGTCAATGAATGAAAAGGAATATATATATATTTTGTAAAATTTTTATTTCAACTGAATAAATAAAGACAGTCGCCTCCAAAAAAGTAGCGAATACGAATACCTCGACTGCAAATATTCGAATACGTCAGCTCCGTTAAACACTCGTACTTGATGTTGAAAGTATAACTGCACGATTACCATTATTTCAGGGATTTGAAAAAATTGGTTCAATTCTAAAATTTTAACCACCATGAGATTCCTACAGATGTAGAAACGCGTACGTACTAAATATGTAAATACAGCGTGTAATACATGAAGTAATTGATTTCAATAAAACAAATTTCAATTTTTCGTTGACAAAAACGTGCTAAAACTGAAGAAAAAAATTTTAATTTATGAAAAATCTTCTATAAAATAATTTTCTTCCATACGATTTTATTGTATATAATTTAAATAGGATTAGAAGGGAAATTATTCATTCAATGAAAATAAATAATTTTTCTGGCTAATAATCGATTCATTAATTCGTATTCCTTTTTTCGGTGCTTTAATTGTCTTTCGATTTTTGTAATGATAGTTAGAAACTTTCTGACTTTACAAGATTATGTTGATTCTCTAGACTCTCAATAAGATTAACATAGTGTAATGGCTGTGTAACATTAATTTTTCGCTTTCTAAAATATTCCCTCCTGTGTTTATCATTATTTATAATAGTTAGTGTTGACGAACCATTGTCATCTTTACTGACATCTGTACTGCCAACTTGGGCAATGCTGTCGGGTATTGGCAATGGCTTAGCTACACCAATTCTCACTGTTCCCTTTGGTGCACCCTTTAACGCTTGGACAGCTTGATCGAGAGTTGCATTCTCCAAAACAATATTATTCACGAATAACAAACGATCACCTGGAATTAGTTGTCCGTCCATTTGTGCGACACCACCTGGCACTAATGATCGTATCACTATCACAGTTTCGTTAGGGTTCATTGGATCCTGAAGAAAAAACAAATTCAACAAATATTATTATCTTCAATGAAATAACATTGTCCTAAGTGAGATGTGTAGATGATTCATAATGAAGACTTGAAATTCAATATTTCCGAATTTAGATTTTAATGATAAACTAGTAAATATTCTTTGTTCGGTTAAAATCGTGAAGTTAATGTATAAATAATAGATTATTCACCTGATAATCTAAAATAGAGAATCCAAGGCCTCTTTCCCCTTTAACAAGCTCAATAATTTGTGGTTCTGAGCTCCACATTGCTAGACCAGTCAGTGGCTCAAGAGATCTTGACTTCATTTTCGATAAACTAGCGTCAGTGACAGTTGCTGTGGTTGTCGTCGATGCCAGAGAGCCATCCGACTTGGCCTTCACTAGACGATCCATCGTTGGTAGTAAATTTTGTAGGGACCCGCCCAAAATACTCTGAAATAAATAAGTTACATAAATAATTTTATTGCTCTTCGATTTAGATATTACTAGGGATTTTCCATTTGGTATTTACTCGAGTCTGAAATGCAGCTTGATGCTGTGCCGTGTCGATGGGACACAAAGCGTCCTGGGAGGATGTACTTCTTCCGCACACCATTCGCACGTGAATTGGCAGTTCTTTTAAAACTGTCACAACTTCCATGTGATTAATACCTAATAAACGATAGCCATTCACCTAAAAAAATACTCCAAGTTGAATAAACATGCCTTCAAAGAAAGGAATTTTCGAGAAACGTGGAGAGAGCCAATTACCTCGAGAAGTTCATCCCCAGATCTGAGAATTCCATTTTGTCCCACAGGGCCTTCTGGTAAAATTGAACGAATGTAGTGATGTGGTCTGACCTCTTGTCCGTTTTCTACGTCTACGGTTCCCTCTAGACTTATACCGAGGCCACTACTTTCCGCGAATTTTTTCAATTGAGCCACCTGCATAACAAAGCACAACGCAGAACGAAGTTTTATTACTTATTTATTTATTTATTACTTTCTTTTCATTGAATTATTTTTGTAATCATAGGTGCGATCTCATCTCATGCAATGTATTCCAACAATTAAATAGGAAATCTATTGATTTTCAGTTTTCAAATCTGTAAATTAAACTGCAAGAAATTTTTGGAAAAAATCATTGATTCTGCCATATATATATATATGTAAATTAAATTCGAATAAAGGCCGACCGCTATAATGAAAAGAAAGCCGAATTTTCATCCAAAATCGTAGTAATTGGAATGAGAAAAATTTAACAATTTCAACTATAATGGAATTTTTTGAAAATTTTTAAGAATTCGATAACGCTGCTTGAGAAGTTTTTGAAGAATTTCGAAAATGAAAATAAACTTACTACAATCTCAACGTCAGGGCCGACAATTCGTTGCCATTTAACTTTGATAGCTGCCTGAATCTGCGGCGTGAGCTCACAAGATGGATCGCTCAATAGAGCCTCCACGAGTGACATATCTTCAGGTTCCTCATCAAACTTTTCGCTTTCCTGTAATATCACACTGTCCATTGTAGTGTGCGACTCATTCTCAGGCTCAATCTCGGTCATAGTGTCTCCATCCTATAAACATAGACAAAAAAAAAACGAGTTCTTCAAAATTTTGTCAATCGAAAAATACCTTCAAAAAGTAATGAAAACAAGAGTTAATAATTTAGTGATAAAATGAGATCTTAAATGGCCTCGAATATTGATCACAAGTGAATTTTATTATCTATTGATTAATTTATAACACAATTATGATAAAGCTTCTGATAATTGACTTTGTGAACTTGAGTTAATGTAATGATAATTGGTATCTTGTAGCTTGTGTCTTGACGATGAAGAGACAGGACTCGATGACGATCTAAACCTGCAATAAATATTATCACTAAATATTGTCTAATCGTTGATATTGGTAACCAAAAAATAAACGAGGAAAATTCGTTGAGAATCTGCAACTCTTCTCCAAATACGAATAAAACTACAAAAAATGAAAGAATCAAATAAAAATAATAATCGACACTGGCTAGACAATTCCACTACCTAAACCGACTCTCTCAACAAAAAAAAAATATACGGGTAAAAAAACTATTTGAAAGACTTGGAAGTTTTTACTCACAGCACTGATAGGAAAACTAGGTAAACTCGTGAGAGAGGGCGAAGTAGGCTGAGGCACCCTCAATTCGCTAGCAGCAATCGCCTGCTGCAGCTGTTCATATTTTGGTCCACGTAAGTATCTTTCCAAACACAGCATAACTATTTGTCCAGTACTCCTAAGTACCTCCACAGCCTCATGGTTTGAGTACCCCTGGAGTGAGTGACCATCGACTTCAACGATTCTGTCGTTAATCTGAATTTTCCCACTGAGATCTGCAGCACTACCCTTGCTGATGCTCTTTACAAAAATCCCAGAAAGTTCTTCTGAAAGAAATGCAACGAGATTCCCTTCAATAAAGTCAAGCTAATTAAAAAATATAAATATAAATGATGATATTTTCTAGATGATAGTTCTCGTGTTGCATTTTCATTAGCAAATTCATTTGAGATTTCGAAGATTTCCAATAAATTTTAACCCAGCAGAGTTTCATTGATAAAATTATATTGAATAAATAATCTCACCTTTCTCACAAACGTATCCAGCGATGGTGATTCCCAGCCCATAACTATCTTTCTTAAGCTCCACAGTGAATCTCTCCATTTCAGGGAGTGAACTGACATCAAGAGGATCCATAGAGAGTACCGGGAGGTCCGGAATTACTGGAACGACAGGAATTATAGGAATTGGCCCAATTGGCATGGGATTGCGCACGACATCCATGATGAGACTGGGTCTGTGTATTTCCAAGTCTCCATCCTGATTAAATCCTCCATTATCAGTGGTAGAGTCTTTCCTGAGGTGTGGAAGATTGTAAGTTTCTGGTGCTGCATGCAGAAGGTGTCTGTCAAGTTCCTCAGGATCCCCCAGGATTTTTGTGGGAACGATGGGGGCGTGACTGCCTAGGGCCTGATAATCTGGAGACGTTGGTTCCACTGGTCTAGCCACCACAAGACGAACGTGCGTCCCTGATTGTCGAAGTACTGCTGCAACTTGTTCAGAGCCCATCCCTCGTAGATTAACATCGCCGATTTGAAGAATGTGGTCACCACTCTGGAGCCTGTTGTCACGATCAGCCACACCACCTGGGAGAATAGTCTTGACGACGACTCCAGTGCTCCTACCACCAATAATACCGAAACCCAGACCACTTCCATCGTTTATGAGGTTTATCACTTCAACTTGGGCCCACTCTGTATTCAAAACCATGTCAGAGCCAGTTTTAGAGGTGTCACTGACAGCTGAGGGACTTCGCTCGATGGGGAGAGACTCTGGAGGTGGTGCCTGAAGGTGGGATGATTGGTTTGATTTTGATGATTGTATGGTTGAGGCGGCAGACCAGTCTTTGTCTGGTTGGTGATGTTTTTGGTCTGGTTCACTGGCGATGAGGGTAGGGGTCGACGTTTCAGATGCAGCATGCGGTGGCGCTGGATCTTATTTTCACAGATAAATCATACATTTTCTCATATTTCATCCTCGCATTAATTAAAATCTTGATAATTAATATCTTGGAAAAACATTTCATAACGAAAAATTTGATGCTTTTTAATTTTGATTAATCATCTATAAACACTATTTCATTGTAGAATTATTTTATCTGAGTTATGAATACTTTGCTGAATTCGAGTATGACCTTATTTTACGAAAGGCATGCATTATCTATGTTTGTAGTTAGTAGATTATGTATTTAGTGCGATAAATTATATCCATTAGATTGGGCCGTTTTTCCTATCAATACTTCAACTTGACGTTGTAAAATTAAAAATCAAGTTCGATACCGAAAACGATACTGTGTAGATACTGCTAAATACTGTGCTAGATTGAAAAAAAAAAGATAAAAGGAGACTGTTGACAAAGTAAAGTTTATTCAACACTTAATTCGTACCTTGATTACTTCTAGCAACAACTAATTCGACGATTCCCCGGGCCTTTTGGAGGATTGAAATTGCCTGCTCGTGCGATATATTTGAATCCAGTGGCTGTCCATCGATCGCCAATATTTGATCACCCTCGACTAGTCGACCATCACTGCAATTCCACACAAAGAAATTTAAAGGTAAGTTCGGCTTCAATATTGCTCCATTCCATTATGATTAAATCCAGAAACTGTATGTGGAACACACCTTCTCCACTTGATTCACAACTACATAATATCTCCATCAATTTTTATTAAAACTTCTGTTAAAATTTGATCTAAGAGGCGCCACGAGTTTAGAGCTATTAAAATTTGAGTTGGAAGATAGAAAAATTTACGAGTAGAAATTTGTTATTTTAGATTTTACTGAGCAATACTTCCTAATAATGTGACCCATAGTTGAGGTGCTACACTAGTGTCGTTATGACCCTCGTGGATCGATTGTTCACCGTCATGGACGTATGGAAGGTGCATTGATGTTACTTATTTTCCCACCGTGGAGAAGGTGCGGGTGAGCGATTTTGAAGATTGAATTATTCGACTCCATGAAATAAATTGGATGCTCTTCGATCTATTTTCTGAATTAAAAAAAAAATTTGCACTGAGCTGTTGCAGTGTTATTGAGATACTGCGGCCGTGGTGGAATGCTTTCGAAGCCCGAGAGTGTGAGCATGCGTTAACGGCTACGATGTGACGTACAAGGAGAAAGAGACCCAGTTGTTTAACCCCGAGTGCTAACACTCCTTTCACGAATCGACAGTGATTATTGATTCTATTCTTTCTTTGTTATTCTTATCCAATTCTTGAACTCAACGAAATTTTCATTGACAAGAGAATTCAGGTGGAATGGATTCGTATTGTAAATTTTTTTTAATTTTCATGGAAAATGTCAAAGGAAAATAATCTATAAAATTTACTGTAGAGTGAAAATCAAAAGATTGATAGAGAGTTCATAGTATGAAATGGACTGGGTATAGTAAAGAAATTGAAGATGTGATTTATCACATCTGTCTAGTCATGAAAAAACAAATCCTGGATTGTTTATGATAAAAAACAGTTCTTTTACGCACAAAAAAATGTGAATATGAATAGGTCTTACCATCCTGCAATTCCATTAGGTTGAATTTCCTGGAGAAAAATTCCAAGTTCTCCTTTATCGGTACTACGTAAACCAACCACACTAAAACCAAGGCTCGTACCTTCTGGTTTATATAGCTAGAACATGAAAAAAAAATTGAACCACTCTCTAGTAACTGCAACCACAATATTTCCCTCTAATTCAGACCACGTTAAACGAATAATTAATAAAAGTTTTAACTAAAAAAATTCAGAAAAAAATGTTGATTTATTCACCTGTACTGTAACAATATGTCTGCCTTTAGCAGCGGCATCAATGACCTTCTGAAATTCTTTAGCATAAGTTGGAGTTGTAATGGGTGGAATGCCGATGACTTCAGACGCGAGACTTGGACTAGTGACCTACAATTTTATTGTGAAAAAAATCTACATTGTATTGTAAGAATTTATGTATCCCAGATTTTTACCCAATCGTTGAGAATTTTTTACCTGTGCTGAAGTATCCTCACTGCTGCTATGAACTAGAGGAGCCACGGGGACCCTCTGGTCATCTTGCTCACTAGTGTCCTGATACAACTCCTGATAAATGTTACCTTCGATTGGTTGAGTTGGAGTTGTGGGAACTGAGAGCTCTAACTGACCGTTCAGATTAATATCGAAGTCCCCAGGAAGGATGGAGGGATGTTGAGTCAATTGGATGTTCAATTCGCCCAGGGAATCCTGGATTACAGCTATATTTCGAAGCACCGGATCCTCTAAAAGGGAAATTAAAGATTCCAAGTCGGTGCTCGTGTGCATCTGGAGTTTTGGATCATCGCTGTCCTTCACTCGATCGTAGATGTGCTCCAATAAATGGAGGGCAGTTGATATATCTAGAAAATATAGACATCTATATCAAGATTTGACAATAAAGCCACCATATTCTAGCTGGAATTAATTTTTCAAATTAATTCACAAGTTTCATACAAGAAAATACTCAAAATCCCATCGTGTAAACCAGGTGGTTAAATGCCATAATGATTATAATGAGTAAATTTTTAGCTAAATTTTTTTCTAAAAGAAAATAGTAATGAGCATTTTTAAGTTTACTTCAACTGCTATATAAAAACTAAATGTATAAAAAATTCCCTCTAATGTATGATATTAACTATCATCCAGTCGACAATTCAGTGTAATTTGGTTTTCAATATTAATGTTGTCTTTAAAAAATTGAGTAATTTGCGGGATTCTCATCTTGGCGCTGCTTAAAAATTGAAAAGATCATCATTGAATTTACCTGACCAGCTACCAATGAAATTTGATTTTTCTTCAATAATATACATTTAGACTTTTGAAGAATGCCAGAAATAATAAAAAAAAGTTTATTCAATCTATTTTTGTGCTTAACTGCACTTCTTCAAGTGCTTGATTAACGCAAGAAAGCAATAATAAGTATCTAAAGAGAGATTCTTTACATACAGCATCCTCTCAACCTGAAAAAAAACTGAAGGATAAAAATTTAATTACCTGCATTTAAAGGCATGATGCTGAATGACCTCTACGTGCAATTGGACATACGCCCTGAGATCCTGAAAAATGCACGCAAATAGTTTGCTTAATGAACCCACAAAAATGCTTTAAGGTTATGACTGCATGGCCAATTAATCTTGTTGATTGAACTATATAGGAATAAAATAACTCTTGAAATCAGAAAAAATAATGGAGCGGAAAAATTTATTGAGAATTTATCTACTTACGCTAATTATATACACTTATTTTTACCCAAAGTGAAGGTGAAAAATTCCACGGAATTCACGTCTACATTTGTCTGGCTTCTGGGAATATTATTCGTAGATTTGTCGGCTAGTTGATGAGTATGTGACTCACGAGTGGTGGATACTTATTTTTTTATTGTTTCACGAATGAAATTCGCGGATTATTTGATATGTCAGTTGCAAAGTGGCAGGTTTACCGATTATCTGTGGAATGCAGCTGATTTACTGAGTATTTACGTAGAGGGAGAACTGTCAGGAGTTATTTTCCCGTTATTTTACACTTCCCTGGAGACCAACCAATGACGAAGGGAGATAAAAGCGTCTAGTAATTGGAGTGAGGTGATTGGCTGAGAGAAGGAGCGCCATACGGTTTAAAAACACACCTTGAAGTGGCATACCCGGTAAAATTTAAAAAATTTTGTCGGCTCTACCCGTGTATGGAAAAAAATATTTAATTTACAACATTCCATATCTTTTTCATCATTCTACAGCAAAATTTCGTTGAAGAAAATTTTAAACTTCAATTTAAAAATTGTTTTATATAAATTATGAAGCACAAGCAGTTATGGCAGTCTCCAGCAGTAGAAAATATGATTCTTGCTTTAAGGCCCGGATGGACTATTTATCGAACTTTGACTTTTGTTTAAATTTTATCTTTTTAACCTAAAATACATTAAAATTTGGGATCAATTTTGTGTTACGGGAAGCACTTGAATGGACATGAGAAAATAATGAAAGATCGATATTATTTAAACGCGATTTACCAAGTTTGCTAAAAATAATAAAAAAACACGTAGCTTACTATTACATCTAGCTGTCACTCAATCTTCTGGAGAGCAATGGTAAGCTGCGTAATTTTTATTATTTTTTTGTAAACTTGATAGATCCCTTTTGAATAATATCGCTCTTTAGCGCCCTATAATAATTTTTCCTCTTTTTTTTTCATTATTTTTTCATGTCTATTCAAGTGCTTCCCGCAACACAAAATTGATCCCAAATTTTAATGTATTTTAGCAAAAAAAAATGATTAAAATCAGTTGAGTATTTCCCGAGATATTCGCCAGACAATGTTACACCACAAATAGCTATTGGTTAAAAAATAATGGTCGGATTAAGCTGAACTTTGGCATTGAGCTAGTCTTAAATCATACCGACAAAGTGAGAAAATTTCAGACTTGTTTAAATGATTTGTCTTATTTAATTATCGAATTATAGGGAAAAAAGGCTGATTGGACAGACATGGTCTCCAAAATTGTTTTTTTTTTATTAGTTTCTTTCGTTTTCTGAGCATTCTGCATGATTTCCAAGTAAAATTAGAAAATTTGAAAATCGAACGATTGTAATACTTCGATTCGCAAGCAAAAAATGAACAATAATTTTTCTTCTATTTGGAATTGCCTTATATTTTGAATACTTTATTCTAAATGACATCTGGACATTAAAAAAAAATCAAATAGGAAATTTTTCAGAATATTTGAAAAGTTAAAGAAAAACGAATCAGAAATTGATATACTCTCCGAGAGGATTTGAATCGAAATATCAGAAGGTCAATTTAATGTCAATTTAATCTCAATTGACTATAATGCATTAATTAAGAGGCGTATGAGTCATACGATACGATATGAACCACCAAAAACAATGCCTAGACTGAAATGATAAAGGGTAGAGACATGAATGAAGAAACTAACAAGTAATTTATTAATATTTTACTGCAATTCAAATGTAGAAAAAAAATTTGCGCATTACTATTTTCTAATTCGGTAATCGAATATGAACTACCAGATGGGGAATTTTGATGGCTCCTGCTTTTTATGGCAGAACGTTCAATATTTTCTTGAATCAAGTTCACTGATGAATCAATTGCCGGTATGGATTCTTTCATCCGGTAGGATTTATATCAGCCACCTTGCATTCATCGGAGAACAGCTACGAGTAAGTGCAAGACAAAAATATGATGCCAAACTCGAGATGCACATGAGTTATGACTTGGAGTGGCTAGCCGTTGATTTTTCCTTGGTGAATCCGGTGCTCTAAGATATAGCTGCGATTCAGGATTTTCCGGATGAATTGAACACTCAATTGACTCAATACCCATTAACTCATCCTGGAGATTTTGACACACACAAGACCGATCCAACCAATCGAATGTAGCATCTATCAGGAGTTATATCAGGACATGTTTATAGCCTTTTAAAAAGCCGAAGCCTGAAGGACTAAATTAATTGATAAAATTCTATAACTCAATAAATTTCGAATTTTATAGGGAAGCAGGTCTTTGAGATGCTAGTTTTTCGTGTTTTCAAGGACAAGAAAGTGATTTAAAGGATGACTTAATTTGCCCTCGAAGCAAAAGAAGAAAAGAAAAAGCTGAACAACGATATTCCCATCTGACAAAGACAATCACCTTAAATACCTTAACTTGAACGATCTCGTATGGCAATTGTCAGTGTCCATTCCGGTGGAGGGCATCGAGACACTGTCATGTAATCTGTGGGAGAGGAAGGGAGTCAGCCAAGCATATCGGAAAGGAAAGGAAGTTACATGAACCCCAGTTCCGCTTGTTCTTCGCTCGTTTCTCTACCCCTTTTTTTTCTTCAAAAGGATTTCGAATAACGAATCTGATGCTTTGACCATGATAAAAAAAAATCCGTTAAAAATTTTTGGACTTTCTGATAAGATATTATTTGTTTTATTGACGATTCCCTATTCCTAAACAACTACAGAGAGCAAATCATCAGATCGGGTTCAAGCCTCAAGTTCCGCTATTCATTTCTTTGTTCCACTCGTTGTGTTCATAAGACAGGGGAGGAGAAATTCTACATAACCAGATGACCATTAATTTCCACGAGCTAATTCTGAAGAAAGTAGAGAAATACTAAATTAAATCAAGGAAAATTAGTTTTTGATGAATATTTGAGTAGCTTGTAAATTCAGTATGAGGAAAATAGATTTCACTTTCTGCGGACTGCAATTTGTACAACACTTCACGCAATTTTTTCATCTTCTTATAGCGTTAGGAAAATTTCCAGCAAGTTGGGAATTAAGATTTTCTTTTTGGTCCAATCAATAGTAATTGAATTTCAGTAAAATTGTTTCCGAAAAATTCATAGAAACGTGAAAAATGTACGTGATGAAGTGGATGAAATTTGGAAATTATATATAGATTGGTTCCCGATATTGATATTTTTCCATTATAAAAAAAATGGTGGCCGATTTGGGCTTTGTTTTTATTCAATTGACGATAATTTCTTTACCTCTACTCGGATAGGGATAATTATAGATCACTTTAAAACCCGTTAAATGTACTTCAACATGATATTTGGATGATCTATTAGATTTGTCTGAATATTTGTTTGATCATGTGGCTTAGAAATGATTTGCCGTGTGAAGTTAAATTTGATAGTTTCTTAATTCTGGAAGTTCTTCCGTTTGATTGGTCGTAATCAACTGATTGTTTTGTGGATTGGAATGAGTTATATGACATTTTGAAGCCCCGAAAATATGCTTCAAGGCGATACCCTCGCTATTTGATTTGGTTCTGTGGGTCGTGGATCATGTGTCATAAATCCATCCTCACACTCTTATATCTTAACTCTCATATGACCTCATTGGTCGCATTACTTCCGAATGCTATTTAGAAAGAAGAAATTAATTATTTAAAGTACACAGGAGAATTTGGAGAATATGATCATTGAAATATTGATATCATGCAACCGCGTTCGGGAGCGCAATGCGCGCCACCATTCCTACTATTGGAAAAAAAACAGAAAACACGTCCCATTGCGCAATTATTTGTTCTAAACAAATTTATCCGTTTTTTTTAATGAAAAAATAATTTTACCGGAGAACTAGGAGAGATATAAACAACAAGTTCAGACTGAAGTTATAGATCTTTCTTCGATCATCTATTGAAATCGGTTGAACGGTTATCGCAATACCGATTGATAAATGTACGTGGGGGGAGCGTTGCGCACGATACACCCATTTAATGAATTAATGCCATTGTATGAACAAACATCGGGTGGATCAATTTTTGAATGATATAATCTAAATAAACAAGTAAATATGGTGATATTTCAATTTTGTAAGCTTTCATTGTAGTGAATGATGATACTTTGTGGCCTACTGGAACTAGATATAGATATAAATAGCAAATTGCAGAATGCATGAAGAAGAAATTGCCAAATGTATATTTGTTTGTTTCTGAAAAGCTTGAATTTTGTTTCTCGCAATGTGTAATAAAACATGTGTTTGAGAGGGTAATTATTACGAAATTATTTAAGGACGATCTGTATTTTTAACGTGAATTTGCTGTAAATAATAAAAATCACCGAAATTAATGAAATTTTCTGTTTACTGCGGTGCCTTTTGCAGTCGGTAAGCAAATTGCAAGTTTTATACTGAATATTTCTATTGGTATGGAAACTGGAGATTGAAAGAACTGCGGGTTAATGTAAAAAATATGTGAAATTGAGAAGTGGATGAGGTTTATTTGTATTGGGAATGGAAGCACAGGGAAGAGGGTGCTTTCATTTCCTCGGTGACTTCCGGCAACCGCGGTGCTTCCGCCATATCAGGGTTGAAGCTGCTGACGGGGCTTTCAAGTGAGTATAGGAGCCGTTACGAGTCTCGGGTACGTATTCCTGCCCTAGCGTCTTCCGGTTCCGTTTCCACCGGTTCTCTATAGATTGTTACGTACTGCACTCACACCCACTATACCTTAACATCCCTTCCGCTTCTCCCAACTCAACTCACCTTTACCTCTACTTTACTTCCTCTTCTTTCAGTTCCGTTCGCCCTTACTTCCTTCCGATTTTACTTGAAAAACGGTTTTTTACTGGTCACCGCTCGTCGATAAGTTAAAAGAAATTTTCGACTCGTTAATGAACCTCCAAATGGCCACCGAAAAGGTATACCCGTGAAGACATATTCTTAAGTGGCGTAACTAGCGGGACTGTCTGAAAAAAAATGTGATTTTTGGAAAGTTTTTTTAAGAAAAAAAGTGCATCAAATGTTTTCAAATTTTAAAGATATATTTGTGTATAAATAGTAAATAAATAAAAACTTCTTTCACGAAATCCATCTTGAACGATGGGACCAAGCTTGAGGCAAGCCGAGGATACCAAGCTTGAGAATTCCAAGCTTGAACGAACCTTGATTCTATGGAATTACCATGATTCAACCAAACTTAATTATATAATGCTAATAAGAGCTTGTATACCAAAGTAGTT